CGGATAGCATTATACCTGTCCTTCAATGGAAACACAAAATCTCCGTCAGGCAATGCGAGTTTGTTCGTTCCAACCCATGGCACACTACTATCAAAGTTGTTGTCCATCACCTCTTTGAGAGGGAGAACAAGGAACTCTTTCCTCCATGAGAATTCAGGGTGAATCTTGTATCCCAAAAACACTCCTGGTAGTGAGGTAGGATCGAATTTCAATTTTTCTTTGGTTTTGGTTTTTGGTCCGGTCCAATAGTCAATCCTCACTCCAAAAGGAATCATTGGTCCCTTGAACTTCTCATCGAACCTGAGCTGCCATGGCGTTTGAGACTCCTGATCACCGAGTATGTTGTGCGCCATGCAACAATGTCTGGCAGCATGCGTCCAGTATGTATGGTGCAAACCCGCCTGTTCAAGATTGATACGAGTTCCATCAAGAACGGATCGAATACTCCTCTCTGCTTGAGCATTACTCTTGGAGATATACGGAACACTTGTAACGTGTCTCCACTTCAGTTCTGATGCTGCCTTGACAAGCTCTTCTGCATTGTCTGAATAGAACACACCAATGTCATCCCGTCCCCGGGTGAAGTGCTTCAATGCAAGAACACAATCTCTAGTCGTTTTCCTAGCCGACGGATATACATATCTAAAGTCCGTAGCTATGTCCTTAACGACTAGGGCGTTCCTTGAACCATCGATAGCCTCTTCTTCGTCATCCCGAAGAATAAGATGATCAGCAGTGATGTGATCACCAAACTTGTCAGCATCAACAGTTTCGGATCCTCCCTTCTTGTATGATGGTGGCTTAGTCATCTTAGCCCTTGAACATGTTGTACAAAAAGGGTTCTTGGGAACATGCGTCAACAAATGCGCAAGCGACTTTGCTTCTCGCCTCAAGGCTTGTTCACCACGATCACGCTTTTCTGCTGGTAGATCGGGGACTAACCTGGCATCGATTGCTTCGGGTTCTGCCTCAGCAGACTCATGGGGTGCTTCCTCTACACTAGGTGAAGTAGGGATCGGAATGTACGAAGACTTGCCGTTCCCGGAAGCATGTTCTTCATACTTGTGCCCGATAGCAGTCATAGCCATACCACTGGTTGATGGTAGATAAGGAACATAGTCCTTCACTAGAAGCTTGATCCTCTGCCCATTTGGCTTTTTGAAATACGGTGTATCATTTGACGGCCAAACGAACGACCAATCATGATCAATACATAATTGTCCCACGGATATCACTGCCGGACTATCATCAAGTACATATGGTTTTGCAGTGATTCCCAACAAGGGAATATCAAGATTAGCCTGATCATTAGCCTGGAACACTCCGTTAGCTGTAAGAAGACTAACCGGTTTCGAGGATTCAAACACTTCGTTGCGATTGACCATTTCCCTAGACACCAAATCATTCGCACTGCCAGTATCTGCAATCCATGCGATCTCGGTCGCAGGCATTGTGACCCTTTGGTTCTTAAAACAATGCTTGCATCCCATTTCCGAATCGCAAAGATAGCCACAACGTGCCTCGACGCCATTCAACTCGTTTGAAACAGCTCTGCTCAAACGATCTGCTGCAATGCATGCATCTTCAGATGCCATTTCCAAAACTTCAGCGTTTCCTTTGTGGCCTATTGGGAAACTGACATGCTTTCTTTGTCTTCGCGCAACAACTGGAAACATTAAAGAGTTGTAATGAACCACGTGTTTAAAAACTTCTGGTTTGTCAGCAAAAGAAAGACGTTTCACTTTTCCCCGTCCTGACGAAGATGAAGGGGAAGAACTGGTGGCAGGTGTAGCAACCATGGCCACGCTTTCCAACGGGCATCTGATAGTAGCAGACTGTGATGATGAGACCGCAGTAGCTAAGACCAGAGTGCGCAGCAGGCAAACAGCGGCTGGGTTAGAAGGAGTACCTTTCCCACCTTTGGATTTCTGACTACCGCCAGAACCGTTGGAGCCACGAGAAGTACTTCGTTTCTTCTTCTCTCTTTTCTCCTTCTTCTTCTTCTTTCGTTTCTTCCGGTCGTCACTTGGTGCGGGTGTTGAAGAACGATCGGGATGTTTGAAAGCACAGTTCTTTCCCCGGTGACAATCACCAGATTTCCAAAACTTGCAAACTTCCGATCTTGATCCCGGAGTCAACGACCTTCCACGTGAAGAAGAAGATCTACCCTTTCCACCACCTTTGGGCCTCCCTTTGCTGGATTCACGGGGTTTCTCATGTTTGAATGGGCAGTCGCGCCTACTGCACTTCCCTTTGTTCTGAAACTCATAGCAAACACCTTTTGGCTTTTTGTCACTTGGGTCGATGACAGGAGCTGCAGGGTCTTTACCTCCAAGACTACGTTTCGTGGCATCCCTCATCTTTTCCAAACGTTTCCTTTCAAGGTATGCCTTGGCTGACTTGATCAAAAAGTCGTAAGTCTTTTCGGCACTCCCTTCCGAGGCGCGTTCGTAGATGGCAAGATCATGAGCTAGAGGCTTAAAGTTCTTCACAGCAAGATGAAAATATGCCTCAAGCCATTTCTTGTCAACTTCCGTTCGCATCCCCGCGATAACAGACTCCCATCGCGTAACAAAACCTTTCAGGTCCTCGTTCACCATCTTAACACAGATAAGATCTTCAACATCGTAAATAGCACCGTGTTTGATGGATGTAGCAAAATACTCATGGAACAACAGTAGGATTTGTCGTCCCTTTATCGGTTCTTTTGCTTTCTCTTTGGTCTCCTTAAATGTGTTGAGTTGGCGAGCAAGGTCCCCCTCCGCACAGTTCGTGAGACTTGAGAGAAGTTTTGCATCCAGCGTGATGAAACCCTCAGAGTCATCCAGGTCCTTAGTGGTCACGGCGTCTTCATAAACCTTACCTAACCATAACCTGGCCTTGTCCGGCTTAGCGGACGCCGCTGACACATTGTCCCGAACTTTAATTCGCCAATCTCTATACCTTTCAGGTGTAGGAAACTTGGGAATGAGGATCTTTTCAGCCTCTTTGGCCCTCTGTTCACGATCCTCTTTCTTCATCTTCTTCAAATGCTTCCTAACCTTCCGGGCAAAGGATGAATCCTCAGAAGACGAGCTCGACGATGAAGGTGACTCGGACGGTGAAGGTGACCCCTTTTTGTTTTTCTTTTTGTTCTTTTTGCGGGGTGATCTGCCACGCTTCTCTTCCTTGTCATCTTTCTTCTTCTTCTTTTTGTCTTTCTTGCTCTTCTTCTTGTCATCGGATGAAGACGAACTTGATGAACTGGGATGATCAGGAGGACCACCTCCAGCTACTTTCGGAGCATTAACCGTTCCACTTGCAAGAGCTTCACGGTAGGGTTCACCGGAACTATCAGTCATTGATTTCTGCATTGGTCGATATGGTTGACCAAGAGGTAGCTCGTTTGAGCCCATCGGACCTGGAAGAGTCGTCCTGAGGTTAGCCGGTGTTCCAGCAGGCTCATAGTTCCCTCGAGCAGATGTTTCCATTTTCTCTCGAAGTTCTCTAATGAGCTCTGTTTGTGCTCTCAACTCTTCCCTCAGTTGCGATTCACGATTCTGCGCTTGTTGTTGTAACTCTGTCAAGTTGTGGTTGTATAGTTGAGCTTCAGTCAACGCAGCATTCTTGATGACTGCTTCATGTGCATTCATCTTAGCTTGCTCGTTTGCAGCCCAAGATGCAGCTCTTCGTTCTTGTAACTCGAGTTGCTCCTTGACATGGTCGTGTGCCTCTCGGTGAATGGCTTCCACTGTCTTCTTCACTTCTTCGTCTTTCTTGGACATCAGTTCCCTGTGTCGCGCTTCTGCAAGTTGTGCGACTTCAGCGGATTTGTCCAGGTTGACGTTGATCATTCTTTGGTCGTGGAAGTTCGCCGTTTGGTTGATGACTTGTCTCGAATCGTTGTATGTACTCGACGGAACGAAGGCAGGGCTCGTGGGAGACAGGATGACCGCACCAGTCGGTGTAGCTGGTGGCAACACGTTCCCATGTGCTTCAACCAACGCATCCTCATCATGCTCTGAGGTGAAGACTTCCGTCTGTACATATGACCCATTCTCATCGGCATCACCGACTCTTGACCTCGATCGATCCGTGCCATCTCGAATTGGTTCGAAGGGCCTGTCCGCCATGCCACCTCACGTGTGCGCAGAACGAGGGTGGGTAGGTGACACAGCTAGAATGGCGCGTACCGCTCTTTGGCGATACGGCTGATAACCTGAATTTACAGGCCAACAGCCTACAAGTACCAACATGTAGAGCGCCCTTTTCTTGAGCCAAACATAGAGGTCAATATGGTATGTACAGGTGTACAATCGTGCAAATACATTTTGGGGTGAGTGCTTTTTTTTCACCATGGTTCATCATGTTCACCATGTTTGAGTGGAGTCTTGTTCATTGGGATGAACCATGGACTAAACGTGAAGGATAATAGTGGCAGAGCAAACACGGAAAAAGGGAAGTTGGAGACTAGGGACAAGTGGTGGAACTTGGTGATGCTTCAAAATGCTTCAAACACCCTCAAGGAACGTACCCAGAGAGCGGATTCCTTTTGGTGATCATGATCTATATTATGATTTAGAGATATTTAGAGGATCTAGGTATATGCAGCTCACTCAAAGGCCGAGATATTGGGCTCCACGCCTTGTAAGTCACTATTTTCAGCTTACCATTTCATGACTACAGTTTTGGACCCACGGCATCCCACGGCCCAACTCTGCGCATGTCCTTTTTGAGTGGCCACGAAGGTGGGAGGGTAACGAGGGTCACAGGAAAAGCACCCGGTCGCCCCAGGCAAGTGACGTCATCTGCCTCCCGGTATTCTCGCCAGCCCACGGTAATCCAACTCCTTAGGAACTCGGCCATTCCGCTCCATTCATGATTCCTTTTTTGATGACTCACACCTCACTAAGCGCCTTTCCTCACCCCCCGAGCTCCCCCACCCCTCCCAAAAACCATGCCAACTTAACACCTGCCCCTGTACCAACCCCTGCCGCCCCCGAAGTTCGATGCATCCGGGCTGTTCCCGGAGCTTCGTCGCGCTCTCGTCCGCGCGCTGCAGCGTCTCCTGTGCCACGGGTTGGAGATCGATCGATCTTGGGGGCCGCGGAAGGTGGGGAAGGGGGGGAAGGGGCTCCTGTCCTACCTCCGTTCCGAAGGTGGTTGGGGTTGGTTTGAGGAACATAACCACCTTCTGAGGGATTATAGAACCCCCCCATATGGTTGGAGCCCAACAGGGGAGCCGGAGCCGGGGTGGAAGATATTGGAGACCGCAGCTGGGCCGACAGATAAGGAAGTCTTTCTAGGAAATCCATTGGACCCACACACCATGATTGTGTGTCTACAAGGTCTCCCTGCAAACTGGACAGTCCTGTCTAGTGAGGTCGAGATCAGGCATGAAATCTCCAGCCGAAAACGACAGAAAAGGCTTTTGGGAGGGGTCCCAGGTTGGCTGTACAAATAGCCTGAATTGAAACAAAGCTGCAAGACCTCTCAAACTTTCAAGCTTCCCTTTATATCAGCCAAGTTGCTGTGTTCGCACAACTTCAAGATGCTGCAGAAGCAATTAAAACACAACCAAAAAAATACATATTCTTGCGAAAGGTCCGGGACTCGCTAGACTGGATGCTCCTTGAGCCATCTGTCTTCCTCCATCCAAAGCCGCTCTCTCCTTAGCCGGGGCTGAGAATCGCTCCTCTCAGCACTGCGGGGTGTGGTGCCGTCGGCGATCGTTGACGAGAACAAGTTCGGTCGATGGTGGTTTGGCATGTGTTTCCGACGGTGAAATTCGAAACACCAAGTCTCGCGATATTGTCACAAAATACTGTCACATTGTGTGTTCTTTTTTATTTGGCTGGGGCGCTTGCCTTCGAAGACCTGTGAACCCGATGTTCGACTTGGTTAAATCTGACCCGAAAACCTCGCGGAACCCGTGCGAGGGTCCAGCGGCCGGGTGTGCGGAACCCGTGTGCGTCCAAACTTGCCCTTTAAGTTAACCTTGAAAACCATGGCAAAGGATGTGGCAGGTAGTGCGCCCAGTAGTGCGCCCAGGGGCGGGTCCAGAAGTGCATCAAACTTGGAAACTTAAAGAACACCCAAATCCATGGCAAAGTGTGTGGCAGGGTGTGCGTCCAGTGGTGCCAGGGGTGCATCAGTTGGCAACCTAAAGACCACAAAAAAAATCAAAATTCAAGGAAAAGTGCGTGGGCTGGGCGGGTGCGGCCGGGCGTTGCGGCTGGGTGTCCGGGAGCGTGGCTGGGCTTGAGGCTGGGTGTGCGACTGGTGGTGTGCAAACCCAAATTTTAGCACCGTGGGACCGTGCGTAGCAATATCCAAAGGGTTGGAAGCCTCTTCAGCAGCAAGTGTGTCAAGTCATGACATTAGACCAAAAGATTGGGGGAATTCCCAACAAGTTGCGGCAATGCTTCAGGCGTTGGAAGACTCTTCGGCGGAAACCTCCGGGAAACCTCTCGGAAACCCTTTGGAAAGACTGTTTAGTGAAGGATCCTTTACTAAAAGTTCTAAAGTGTCTTCCTGAGAGGTTTCCGCGAGGTTTCCACGAGGCCTCCGAGAGGTTTCCGCGTTTTTGCGAGAGGTTTTCGAGAGGATTTCGCGAGGTTTCCAATACGTTGCGCCAAGCCATAATTAGAAGGACAAATCATTGGCCGGAGGGACCTTTCTTGGATCCATGCATCAAAAGGCGGAAGGAAAAGGAGTGAAAAGCGGCATTTCTTCGAGCCAGCCATAGAAAACGTTCAAGAAATGGTGACAAAGTGTGTAGCCTGCATTGATGGCTCTCAGTTGTATCTAGAAGTTCGACTGTTCGAGCCTTATCATAAGTGCAATAGCGCAGCAGCCAAATACATCAGCAAAGCTGTTGACCAAAGTGTCAATAGCCCCACAGTACAACCTTGTGTTCTGCAGCTCTTAAAATTTACACCACCGTAGACCCCAAACAGGTGGGACAACAACGAAGCATTCCCAATTCCACTTTTTGAGACATCAACAAGAAGGGGGAACAAGAAGGGAAGTGAAAGGAAACAACAGGAAACAAAAGGGAGACAAGACGGACACAATAGCCAACAAGACTGGAGACAAGAAGGGAGACAAAAGGGAGACAGAAGGGAGACAAGACGGACACAATGACCACCAAGAAGGGAGACAAGACCGGAGACAAAGGGAGACAGAAGGGAGACAAGACAGACACAATGACCAACAAGAAGGGAGACAAGAAGGAAAACAAAAGGAAACAGCAGGG